GCCAAATGATTAGCTTTCTTGTGGTTTAGCACTATTTTGTTTTTTTTATGTAGTAGCAAGCAGTGGAAACAATTAAATTGGTCAGTGGCTAGTATTGTATAATATTAGGGCTAGAGAGTTTAAAAAAAATTGTAGTGGGGGAAGTCATCTTTCACTCTGTGGAGAAAAAGTAATATAACTAGATCCTAGTTGTTAATTGGGGGTCAACTGCAGCCTTGTCTAATACTTTGAGATAATATATTTAAATTTTGTAATTCTAAATGAATTATCTATAGTAAAATACACTATTGTTTACTTTTCATTCTTTTGCACTTTTTGCTTTCGTTATTTTGTGTTTTCTCAGCTGAAGCAAGATAGTTGTGGAGCTTCCTGCTGTGTTGGCAGGGGTGAGCTGAACAGGCCCTCTGCAGGTGCCAGCAGAAGGATTTTACCACGTGTCAGCTGGTGCCTGATAAATGTGAATGCAGCAGCAGCCAGCAGGTGTCAGGTATGGTGTTATATGGTGAGCACTTCTTGTCTAAGGAAAAGCCCAATGTCTCTTGCAATGAAAAACACTTCAAAAATTTGCAAAGGTGCTAAAATAATAAAATAATAATCTTGATACTGTGAACCTTGCCCATTTTGCATGCTTTTTTGTGCGCTTATTTCTTACAGCATTACTCAGTTTAGAGTCTGTTTGTTTCTTCTAAGCGTATCCTGTTGTACAGAGAAGCTCGGTGTAGTGGAAGTTTGTAAGGATCACAGACTCTGTGACAGCAACTTCTCTGAAAACTAGAGCTGTATATGTGAAGCCTGAAAAGGGGCTGAATTCGTACGACTTCTCAAAATGTTTGTGGTTACAATTCATGTATCTTAAAGCCGGTGTGACAGCAGTCCCTAGTTAGAGTCCTGCTGTTGGTGCGCTGTGCAGCTGTGTCAAAGCCATCACATACAATTTTCTCCTGATTTGGTATCTTACCACCCAAGCAGTTCAACATCATAAAAATACTTGTTTCCTTTTGATGGGGACGTGCAGGTTTATTTTGAATAGGTAGGAGTTTCTTTAGTTGCTTTTAGTCAGCTTTTGTATCAGAAGAGAAATGTTTGCAGTGATGCTAAGAAGTCTGTGTCTGGTTCCTAGCAAATGTAGTGCTGTGAAATACAACTTTTATTTTTTTGCTGAAGGCTTCTCTGACAAATGTGGTTTTTAAGTTGGGCTTTTGAAATACCGTATATCACCTGTAAGTTTTGACATGCTAACACAGAATTGTATATACTGGCTTTTGTAATCCTTGGCAATTACAAGGGTTGTAATGTTTATCTAGTTCTTGTGTCTGTGCTAAATACAGGTAGAACTAGTTCTGTAGGCTTACAGAGCTGTCCCTAAGTATGTGGCTAAAATGCATGGTACAGGAATTAATTTTCAGCTGCTTTTGTAATGGTGTCTTGATCCCCTGTCCTTTTGACTGCATAATTTTAGATTATATAGACAAACAATTTTTTTCATACCAAAGTCTGAGAAATAAGTGTTTGTGCTTCTGCTTAGAGTTGCAAGATAGTTAAAATCATATGATCAGTGGGGAGAGCTAATGAGCATTAAACTTCTGTAGCACATCTCTTTCCTGTCTTGCTGCTGAGTACTGCAGCAGCGCAAGAATGTGACTAGAGAATAATCACTGTCATCCGAAGCACAAGGCAGCAGTGTGTTTGAATTGGGATTTTAATGTGGCTGGAAAAGGTAAGGAATTTAGTTGTACCTGACAGCAAAAGTAAGCCAGTGTAATAGTGTCTTGCCCAGTCACTTCTCATGAAGTCCTTGGTTGCTGTACCTAGAACTGCTGATCGCTCTGTTCTGTGACTGTTACGACAGGCTGTTATGAGATGCGTTCGTTTCTTTAGCCTCGTCTGCCTGATGCCCCTTTACTTAATCTGTCCATTTCTCCTGCTCCTTTGGTAAAGTAAAATGAGTTTCAGAAACGCTGTTTGAATCAATCTCTGATGTGACTGGAACATAATTTGAAGTATGTTATAGGCTAGACTTTCCAGCACTGGCGTCTAATTCTCTGGTGATTGTTCCAGTGTTGAAATGTTGTTCCATTGGCAGTGCATCTTTATGGAATTAACTCGTAATGAGAAATTAATACCAGAGAAGAATGTTGTCTCTTCATTCCAAAAGGATGGATCTTGCACTTGCACGATAGTGTGTATTTGGTGTTGATAAACAAATAAAAGTTCTCAATCTTCCACATTCTAACCTAACCCATTTAAAACTTTTTTTTCTGATTTCAGATGGAACCAAAGTATTCTGCAGTTTTTTTAGTTACCTGACTTGAATCGCGGTTCCTTCTGCTGGATAAATGCCTGTGTTCTATGGCAGTGTATGGAAAAAGGTATATTCCAAGTCTGTTCAGTCTGGAAAATAAAAGCTCTCTGTCAGAACAGCTAAGTTCAGCCCATCCATCTGTCATTCAGCGTGGTGGTTACACTGGATCTGTCTGTGATTCAGGATGGTTCTGTTTGCCTCATCCCAGCTGTAATACAGTGTGACCTAGCAGCTGCATTTGTAGGCCTGCTAACCTCAGGGCAGGCTGCAGGGCCCCCTTCCCCGTGGCGGAAAAAAGCAGTTTTACTGAACAGAGCAAGCAGCTAAATTCTCCTTCATTGCACCTCAGTTTTCAGTGTTCTGAAGCTGGGAAGAGTCAGTTACTGCCAAAAGAAACAAAGTGCCTCTAACTGGGTTGGTTTCTAGTGGCTCATTCAGTTTTTCTTCCAGTGCTCAAAGAAAACTATTTTAACTGCTTGTTAAGCACAGAAGTGATGGTGATCGTCCTTTACATTATTTCTTCTAGTTAGCTTTTGAGAGACATTGGATTTTTGTTTAATTATTTGAAGTAGTGGTATTGCCTGCCAGGCAATTCTAACTCTGAAAATTATCAACTTTGTTAGTACTATCAGGGGGATTTTTCTGGTTTTTAACTTCATGTTTAAATGTTGTGTGGTTTTTTTAAAAAAAATATTTGGGTTTCTTTTTAAAGAATACTTGTATGTGTAATGCCTGTCTTTTATGTTTTGTTCCTACTCCTAAAATTGGTGGTCTGCAATAAACATTATTTCATGTACTTTTTGTACTTAGAAGCATACTAAAAACAAGTGTTTTTCATCTTGCATTAAAACATCTGGAGCCTAAGATTTATCTTTCATCTGAAAGAGACCTAAGGAAAACCAATTCTTTTAGCTGTTCGTAAAGTAGAAAATCGGTTTCTTTCCTAACTGTCAGAAGGAATTAGAGAGAAGCATGTGTCTGATCATTAACTCTGTTTGTACAATACTTGACACTCTAGCAAAAATGTTTGGTTTTTGTTATTTTGAAAATATTTCAGGATTTTACTGTCCCAAGAATGCTAAATGGGTGATACACAGGTATTTAAAATATCTTTTAGTAGGATTCTTTGGTATGCCAAGAAAGTGGTCCTGAGCCACAACAGGACTTTTTCATCCATGGGACGTCATGTTTTCTCAATTTTCGTGCAGGTGCTGTGGAAACTGAGTATATATATATATAATCTCCTAGGGATTTTATTACATATTAGCTCATTTAAAGTTTAACATAATGTTTTAATGATATGCAAATAAAAAAGCAAGTGTAGCATTTCCGAACATCGTGTTGAGTGTCACTGTCAAGGTGCTGTCCTTTGAACCTGCTCTAAAATGGAGCTGTGAAAATGGGAAGCGGATGTGGCAGAAGTGTAATTCTAAGACATTCCCAGTGTACTTCAGTGGAAGAACAGTTAAGCCAATATTGAGAGAGTTTTGAAAATCTCACTTCTATTTCTAAGGCGTTACCAATATGATAGTTTTTTACCCTGTGAAATTGTTTATTTTTAGAAAATCTTGAGACGTATTCAGAAGGGCAATTAAAAACAGAGGAGAAGAATACGTAAATCATTTACATATGCAGTTCCAAGATTGCATTTGCATTCACAGAGGTGCTTGTCTTATATGACATAAAATGCTTCATTTTCAAAACCTGCCTTCAAAAACGTGAAAACCAGTGTGGGCATAGCCATGTTTACTTGATGTTCTTTCAAAATTATTGTAAGCATACATGCAGATTGGAGCCTGTGTGGAAATGAGGGGAGTGTGCATGTCTATACAGTCTACATGTGACTTCTCTGAATAGGTATTTCAGACCTTCCATTTCAAATTAGCTTTTGCAAATTAAAGGCAGATGGGAGACAGGACTGGCTTAGCAACAGACCACCCCTCCCCTTCCCTAAAAACGCAGCAAGAATAAGACAATCTGGAGCAGGGCTGCATCCTCTGTTGGCATCTCGTCCCCTTGGCAAAACTATGGTAGGAACCTGCTGATGCCTGGACCCCTGTAACTCTGCTGAGCGGGCAGTTGTGCGTTCATGTACCACCAGTCATCATGAGGATGCGTCTGTCTTGTCTGCTTTACAGTCAAATTTTTATCTGTCCTTAAGATGACAAGATTTTTGGCAGATGATCTGGTATAAGGATGTATTAAGATGTCAAGGTGCTTCATCACCAGTAATTAGAATAGACAACGCACATTTTTTTTTTTTCAGCTTTGATCATACTGTCTATACCTCAGTGATTTGGGGAGAATTGATTGGAATTTGTCCCTTTAATTAAAGCATATATAATAGAGACACATTATCTACTATATTGGAAGATTTCTTTCTTGCTGTTCACTTCGTTTGTGGCAAGGTGTGTGTGTCTGCTAGAACACCAAGCTTAGCAGTTGTTTATCTCGTTAACTGTATACTTGCCTTTTATGTTAATTTAGAGCTGTACCACATTTTGCCTTAACAAGGAAGTTGTATTTTAGGCTAGGCTTACACTATTGATGGTACAGCTGGAGAATATGGTGGTGTCATTCTGATGATACTAAAATACACAGTATAAATGTTCTGTTACATCTTGCATTGTTGAAAACAAATTCAGGCACTGAGTTATCTTTCTTAGATGAGACACATAACGCATCTTTATTCTTATCACTAAGATTCTTGCTGAATTTGATTTTTAGCAGGGGATGAAGGTTTCACATTGCAATATGTCCATAAACTCTGTCTTCTGAGAGATTTCGTCTAAGTGTGGCTCATGAACTGTGACAGCACTCCACATGTTGCTCTTCCTCATGGATTTATGTAAGAGTTCTCTCATTCTCCTGTTCTCTTTAGATGTGGATTCCCAAATGATTTCCAGTTCCCCTTCCACTTTCCTAGAGGAAAAATAAAAGAAATCCTAATTTTAAAAACAATTTTCAGCAGTAAATTATAGTATGTGGATAAGCAAGCTATAAACTGTATGTGTTTAGATGCTTCAGATTATCCAACTGAAATTTGCTCCTATTTTGTTTTTTAAAAAAGCCCACTAATACGATGATCTGATATGATCAGATAAGTTGGATTAAGTCCACACAAATGAGCAGCACACGTGAGATCCGAGTATCGTGCCTGCCACTGTCCGCTGAGTTGGGATCCATCGCAGCTCTCAGTTCTGCTTCCTGCAGCAGCTGTGCCCCTTCCGCCAGCACCAAGAGCTCTGCGTCTCTCCGCTCAGAGGCTGAACGCGCCTGATCAGGGGGTCAGACTTTGTGCTCAGCTGATGCCTCTTTGTGGAGGTCAAACAGAAGTGGTGCAAACTTCTTTGCGGAGGCGGGAGGGGAGGCAAAGATAGTGAAGGACAATCCTTAAGGCATTACAACCTTATGGGCTGATTTATTTAGTGTTTTTCTTAAGAAAAAGGTTATTCTTCAAACATAGCAGCTAACGTGATTTAATAATGTAGTGTATTCCAGCCACAGACTTTTTAGTAAGTTGTATTTGGCCAAGGTTAAGCTTTTGGGGCTTCCTCTGACTTGCTTCTAGTATATGTCCAAATACAAAATAATGGGAAAACCAAGATCATTTGAAGTGAAAAGGAAAGCTGTTGTGTAGAAAATGAGCATACAAATCTTAATGGTACAGACTTCTTCAGCACGGTCACTTGAAGCCACCACCTGAAGCGCTTGACAGAGCTAGCCCTTTATGCAAATTCTCCTGAATACCATGTTCTAAAAATGAGAAAGAAATCAATGCAAAGCATAAATGTGTTGAGATTAAATGCTGTCAGGCTACATTTGTGGCAAAAGGCGTATACTAGAAAATACATCATCAGTACTTCTTACAGAGCCCTTTGTGATGAGTAACACTGAGCATGAAGTGGTAGAAAGTGGCCCAGACATAGTACTTAGCTCATTTTGTGTTTCACCTGATGAAAACCACCTTATTGACAAGGCTTTAAGATTATTCTTATATACATTGCTTGGAGTGAACCTTCGGTAGTGGAAAAGATCATTAAGCATGGAACTGAAGCAAAAGAAGGCAGGTGAAAGCAGTACAGTTCATAAGAGCAGCCTAAGACTCTGCTCAAGAACATGAGAAATTATGTTAATGGGCTGGACCTTTCCATTTCTGCCAAGTCTCTAAAACTATTGAGAAGCACTCTCTCATTTTTGAAACATCAAAACTGTAGATGACTTTGTTCTCACAAAGCATATTTCTCCTTGAACCAATGGTTAGTGTGTCTGATACTACCAGTTACTCAGTATATGCTTCAAAATGCTTTACAAAAGCAATTACTGTTATCCCTAGCTGACATTGTGGAGAATGTGAGGCACAAAGAGACATCGCAAGACTGAACTCCCCCAACAAGCCATCCTGAATTTCACCCAGTGGGTGACTCTGGCCCTTTGTATTGTCACCTTGGACATTTTCAGCATCTTGTTTTGTTCTTAAACAAAAGCTCCTGTTTTCTGTTGCCACTGCTCTCCAACTGGAGTCTGTGTGCGGTGTGCACAGCACTCCTATGTTCTACTATTAATATACAAGAACTTAATTTGGTTTACCCTTACTGTAGTGAAGAATATTACCCAGGCTTTACTTCATCCGCTCATTTCTAAAACCCAAGATTTTTTTTTTTTTTTTAAGATTGTTTCACTGTTAATGCTTGTGATACCTGTGGATATAGATGAGAAGCTATTAAGTTGTTAGAGTTATTGTATAACAGATGTGACCAAACAAAAGTAAATTTTGTGAATAGCTAGGTTAGTTTTAAGAAGTTTTCAAATAATCCCACTGTAGACAACTCAGCCTCGGATGGGCAGACGTGGAATTCCAGAGGCAAGGCAGGTGCAAAGATGACTGTAAGAATCGAACAAAACAGCCTTGAAGGACACAGTATACGTGATCTTAGAACTGAGTCTGCGTGGAAGCACAGGTCAGCTAGTGGATACCGTGATGAAGAGTACGAACCTTCATCTGAAGACCCCCAACAACCACCTGGAGGCACTAATAGACCTGCGCAAAGGATATTAACATATTTGGATGAGTTCCTGGAAAAACCATGAACATGTATGTAAATGTAGTATAAATGTTTAGTAGTTATGGCTTGTCGGCACGCACATTTGGGTGGAGCTATCCCCCTGTGCGTCCACTGCTGCAATAAATAATGCACGCTTTCTAAAACTCCAAACTGAAGTTTTAGAGAGTGAATTATTATGCTGCTTTCCGGTAACACTTGTATTAGCTTGAGGCAGAAAAAATTTGAAGATGAAGAAATGAAAGACGACTGCATTCTGAATGGTAGTGTAATGCAGTCAGTATGCCTGACCAATCAGCTGGTCATTTTCAGTCCATACATTCAGTTCAATGGCAACTGCATCAATTTTAGAAAAAAAAAAGTTCAAAGAGATTAGTTTTAACAGTATCCACATGGTCAAAATTACTTCAGTAGCAAGGAAACAGATGCCTTTAGAGGCAGTGGTGTATCTGAACTCTTCTGGGAGGATTAATTTTTACACAGAGCTGAGAGATGCAGAATCTGAAAGTGCTTGCTGCCTTTGCCGTGGAGTGAGTAGTCAAAGCACGTTGTTGTCAAGCAAGCACACTGCAGATGCCCCTGGCTTTGCACACAGCAGTCAGAGGCAAGTCTCTTCAGTATGGCAGAATGTATTCCTCCTTTTATAGTTCAGCTGTTTCTCAGGTGAGCATCCCAGAAGTAGCAGTTACAACCCAACTGTAGTTAGATAAAGGTTTTTGTCTCTGTGGTTTTTTTGTTTGTTTGTTTTAAAATTCTGACCCAATCAAAATCTAAAAAAACATTTAGCAGGATGGGCTGGGAAGGCAGTGTCTTTACTCTTGCTAGTCACAACCTCCCTCCTGTCCTAGGAACTTGGATTGCATTGCAGCTTGGCTACCATAGTTGCTGGCAGTCTGTACTTTTATCTCAACACCAAAATTTATTTGCTCCTACTTCCCTGGGCATGGCCCTCACTAACCTTCTCCTGCATTTTTCTGGATGTCATCAGAAATTCCCTCAAGCTCTGCAAAGCTTTACTGTCCTTGACTGTGACTACTGTGACATGACCCTATGGCAATCACAGCCTAGTAGGTAACCCTTGCTATTCCGTTGTGCCCACAGCAGCTGGTTCACCTCTTCAAACACAGGTCTTTGGCACTTCGCATTTAAAAACTAGGTATGTAATCAGTAGTAAATGTGTCCTGTTTCCAGGTGTCGTTAGGCAAAACACAGAAGTTGGTTTCTCATAAATGTAGACTGTTGTTACTTAAATGAGTAAGAATAAAAATTCTATTCAACCACTACCCTAGCCAAAATGTAAGGTTTTCTGTCTTGTTGAGAATAAGCAAAATGCCAACGCTCTACTGACATATGAGGATGAAAAACTTAACAGAAGGAGGTCTGAAAGCAGATTCTTCTTTACAAAAGACAGAGCTTTCTGCCCTCACTGAAGTAAACTCATTCAGCCTTAGTCTCTGAAAATCTTATTTGGGCTGCTGGCTCAAGAAATAATTTCTCTGTATCCTCTTAATAGTTTATTTAAATAGTCCTTATCACAAAGATCAACAATTTTTATCATGGTTACATTTTACATGTAACCTTACAGGTAAGACGGCGCCTGTTCCTTGCCTGTGCGTGGCTGCAAAGCTTTTCCACTGTTGACCCTCTTCTGAGGACAGTCTAAGGCACTCTGATGACCAAGGCTTTCAGACCAGCAGTTAACATCTGAAGTACTGTTCCTCTGCAGAAGACTTATGAAATCCCTCTGTAAGTTTTCTAGGACACAGTGTCAGTGTCCTGTGAAATGAGACTTCAGGTATTTAGAAACCTGGTTTTCTACCATAGAAACAGATTAACAACTTTGTTTATATCTGAAACATGCCACGTATTTAATTTAAGGAAAGGTGTGTGATAATGATGAGCTTAGTGTGTAAAACAATAAAAATGTCATTATGATTATCAGCTGCCTGAAGAACAGAAAATTATACTGCTTTCTCATCAGTTGCTGTAGGCAAAAGGTTGCTGTGAATTTCCGATAAATTTTGAATGATCCATATTACAGGACATTGAACTATGCTCTATCCTACATTGAAAAAAACCTCTTTATTTAACTAGCTGTTCTCTACTGTAAAAAATTGTAACGTGAGCCCAGAGGTATGAAAGGCACTGAATTAGTTAAAAATCCTAAATGACTATTTCCAGAGAATTGTAGAATAGTCAAAATACTGTTCTCATGCAAATTGTAGAGATTAGTGGGACATTCACTGTACAATTCCCAGCTACTCGCACCTGTTTAATAGCACTGTATGAAGTAATTGAGAGGAACTGTGCTGATGCAAGGTAGATGATGCCATGTCCTGGTTTTCTGTTGTCTTTAAATCTGTTATTTCACAATGGCAGAGATGACTTGCAAACTGACTGCTTAATTACCTCTCTTCAGTTGTAAAAAGTTTTTCCCCTATGCTGATAATGAATGTGCTATAAAGCTTTCCACTATAGGAGGGGAAAAATACCTTTAAAGGACTCTGTATTAAAAAGACATTTCAATACTGACAGTCATAGTCTTGCACAAATTTGTTAAATTATCTTTTCTTCTTTTTATTCTGTATGTAGCCCATCGAAGTCACGTATTAACAGAATAGTATGGTAGATTCAAAAGGGAACCCGTCACATGCGTACCCATTAGATTCCTTTAATGTCCTACTATCCTGAAAACTGTTGAGGGGTGTGGAGGGGAAAGCGTTCAGCCTTTAGTAGAAGATGCTAATAAATAATTAATATATATCTTGATGATTTACAGACCTCCCCCCCTGCCAAATCATCAAAGACTAGGCTCAGATTGATATTTTTCTTAAGTCTTAAGAACAGTAGTAGTCATCCAGAATAAGTTCCTCCTTCAGAAGGTCTTTCTTGGAGCTGGGAATTAAGAGGAGCATTTCAGCATTTTCAGTATAGCTAAAACATGAGTGAGAAAAGACACCCAGACTGTACCACGCGAGGCTCTGATGAACAGCAGGAGCCTTCCCCCAGCCCTTCTGCCGGTCATATCTAAGGGGATTCCTTCTGCCTGTGACTGCCTCACCTTTTCTGCTGCAGCACTTCATCGAGGGTTTCCTGTTTGTCTTGCAGCAGGCGCTGGAGGTGCTTCATTTCTTGCTGGTACTGAGCAGTCTTCAAGGCAAATTCTTTCTCCTGCTCAGTCATTTTGAGACTGGTATCTTCAAGCTTCCCAGCTGCTTTCTTTTTATATACCTGTAAGAGTTAATAGGAAAAATGTGATTATAGGAGAAATGACAGCTCACTACCAACAAGAGAAATAGCTAGAGATACTAATTTGCAGTATAAACTTTACATCAGTGCTGCCTTGCTTAAATGTCAGGTAGGCTGCATTATGTGTTGGGGTTTTTTTTTTAACCTATTTGTTAATTTGAAGGTATTACACTTGTACTTTGTTCTGCATATAGAACTGCTGTGTACAGTGTGTACCATTTCACATGATTGTCTTAGGAGTGAAAAGAATTGGTTGCAAAAAAAGGGTTTGTTTTCCAAGATGCAAAGCTACAGTTTCCAGCACATGTTGCTTACTGCGTTGCTTGTCCAACAGTTGTAATAATGCATACCAAGAAAAAGTGTTTGTGCTGTTAGTTGTTTAATCTTAAGAGGAAGAAAAGAGTGGCTTCATGTTTTAAAGTATCTTGCTTCACGTAATAGTTCCTTCTGTTTAGTGAAGCACAAGTGATTTTTTGCTTATCAGCAATAATAAGCAAATACACTGGTCTAATCTCAAAAACAAGAAATCCTTTTTGTACAAAGTGATTTTGCTTTCTGAAATAACTTTCCCTCCCATTAAATTACTTAAGCATACGAGGAATTGAAATACGTGGCTTGTGTACTGTTACACATTTCTACATGCTGCTGCTCTCGAAAAAAACAACAGGTATTATCCAATATTAGCTTTTTTGTCGTGATTACAAACAATGCTTAAACTGTTATTGTATCTGCAGAATGTGATGTATGATATAGGCTCTAGGACATAGTTTTGGGATGGAAGCACCTCCTTTAATAAAACTGCAGACTATTTAGTGAAGCTTTGAAAATACTGCTGTTTATGTCTTGCAAATACAAAGTTTTATCTAGGGTGTTAACCACTAAGGTTTTATCTTCATCTGAATCAAAGCAGAAAGAGTATGCCTTTCGGAGGAAGAAAAAAAGGCATTTTTAGGTATGTGCTGCAAGCTATGTAACCCTTTCCACAAACTCTTTCCTTTCTAGCTCTTGTAAAACGTGTCATTTTAGTGTTTCATTTTCTGGAGGTAATAGGATAGTGATAAACAATAATATTTACCTAGAACATTAGTCATTGAGTATTGAAGGCTGACTTCCATGGGGTTTTTTCCTAGCTTTTCCCTTTCAGTTCTAAGAAAAGAATTAGAAGCCTGCAGGTTAACCAGTCACATCACTCGACTGGTTCGATTCCCAGAGAAGTGTTCAAAACGCAGCGTTAGATGGTTGTGCTTGCAATGCGATGGGAGGATAAAGGTAAACATGGACCTTCTGAGCAGAGGGGTGCTCAGAGCGAACCTGAAGGAAGTGCAGAGCACAGGAAAACAGCTGAATTTTCACCTCTGTCAGTGAATACCTCCCCCAGCTCCGGACCAGGAACCTGAAATGCTCTTTTCAGGGCAGATGCCTACGATTAGTTCGGAGAACTTGCGAGAACTTCCTCTCTTTTTAACACATAAAAGGCTGATAGAGCAAGCAGCCAATGGTATTGGTGAAATCCATTTTTTATCTAGTGGTCATGATAGAATGTCTTTTGTCACACAGTATTGTGGTGTTAACAGAAAAAACATTTCCTTGCAAACACTCGATTTCTGGTCTGTTAAGAGTTTGTTTCTGTTTCTTAAAACCTCTGTTAAGAACTGAAGCTGTGTCACATGCGCAAAATGGTTGTAAAATCAGTGGGGCACAAAAGGCGAAAGTGCACCATTTTCTGACCTAATGATTAGGGCTTGAAACTAGGTTTGAGGGATACGTAGTTCTGATCGTGCTCCTCTGATTGATTATAACTAGGTTTATTTAAAATGCACAAGCTACGTCAGCAGAGTGGGTGAGGAGTGCCTAGGCTGCTCCTCACTCGCCCGTGGGAGCCTGGCCATGTCGGGGTGGTGCTGGTCGCACTGACAGGGCCACGCTGGCACGCACAGATCCTTCACAGCATGCTACTGCCTTTGACTTGTTTGAGAAAATCTCCTATAATTTTCTCTGAAGTGAAGCAGGGAGCCATAAACAGACTGGTGGAGATGGCAATTTCCAGGAAGAGGGTGATAACATGTAGCTGGAAGTGGTACTATTGTCCTCTAGTGCTGAAAAGTGTGGTCTGCCCAAGGTCACGGCGTCACAGGTATACAGTGAGCACGCAAGATGAGGAATGATCATGGAGGCAGCAGCTGGTACTGAAGAGGACATAATTTACACTCTTTGAAGTAGTTTCAAGAAGGTATACTCCTGGGCACCATAATTCCTTTACGCCTTGTGTGCTGAATTTAGCAAGGGGGAAACTGGAGATTTCTGGGTAGAGAGCCAGCAAAACATTATTTCTACAAATGTAGGCTGCTGGCCATGATAGATGTGATGATCTGGTCCCAAGATCCTTGTTGGGGCAACAAAGCTGTTTTCTCTCAACCATGTACTGTTTTTATCCTTTACCAGTAAAAATTTGTATTGTCCCTTCCAAAAGAGACCAATTGAAGCACCATCTGAAGAAAATTGTCTCACTGTCTCTATGAAAAGTGTTGTAATTCTGATCCTGACAGAATAGCCCTGTAATGGGAACCCCGATGAAATTTTTACTGGGTGCCATGGAACATTGCCAATTGTTTCCCACAGCAACCATGGATGTGACAGATGAAAAGTGACAGCCTGTACATTCAGAAATTTTCATGATAGAATGTCTTTTGTCACACAGTATTGTGGTGTTAACAGAAAAAACATTTCCTTGCAAACACTCGATTTCTGGTCTGTTAAGAGTTTGTTTCTGTTTCTTAAAACCTCTGTTAAGTCCCTCTGAAAAGGATGTGGGCAAAATGGAGAAACTTTTAAATTCAAAAGCCAACAAAATGAAGCTGTAGTTCAGCTGTTATGTGCCACAGTAAAGAAGCTTCCTTATTTACAGAATGATATTGTCACACAGATCAAGCGTAAACAGTTAGGACATCAATTAAAAAGGGAAAAGCTGTTTATGCTGAAGAAACTTTAAAACTATGCGCCTGAAGGTATGAGATGGCTGTGTGTGTACAGGACCTGTTTTGACAAAAAATAGTATGAGATAAACAGAACTGACATCTTTTAGAGACAGAAGATAAAATTAACACATGAAAAGGAACTGAAACTTCTATTACTTGAGTCTTACTTTATTCATGAGCGCCATGAACATAAAACACTTTGCAACTTAATCCAATATTGTGAAATAAATTTAAAGCTGGAATTATCTTAAAATTTAATAGCTCACTTAGAAAAATCCCTTTATACAGGATATTTCCTTATCTTACTCTGTTCTTTAACCTATTCTTATCTTACTCTATTTCTTTAACTTATTTATCTTTAAACTATTTCTATCTTAATTCTCTTACGCTAAAGAGGGGCATGATAAGGTATTATTTTCCCATATGGAACAGACCTTTCATAAACACAGGAGAAGCCTCGAGTTTACTTGTTTAATCTTCTTCATGGTTTTTGAACTTGGAGGTTGAATTTGTCAAAATTTAAAGATCTCTATAACCAGGAAGGCTAGAAACTTCTTTTTAAGAAACTGGGGTTTTCCCCGGTAACAGCAAGCTTTTTAGAGCTGAGGGAAGATTTGGCAATGCTGAATTTCCATTTTCTGAGCAACACAGCAAGTGACTTAGTTTCATTAATTTTATGAAACAGAACACTGCTGCAATAGTAGGACAGACTTATAACTCAAATATTGGGCCGTATCATCAAGGCAACACTTAGGAAATATTTGCTCTTGTTACACTGCAAGTTTATCCTAAAAGGCTCGAAAGACTTAAGCGAAATTTTAAAAGGTAATTAAATGTGCTAATGCTAAATGCTTCTCTTAATTCCATTGCTTTATAACATGCCACCCCTCTCCTAGCAGAGATTTTCTAGCCTCCTCTTCAAGTTCTAGTAACACAGTAACTTGCTGAACTTTCTGACATACGTAGTTTCTTCTACCTCAAGGAGGTACAAGTAGATCTTGGATGTGGTAGGTTACTACTTTGGGGAAAAAAATGCCACTAAAAATACACTAGTTTTACATACATACATAATCTCTCTTATTTTAGAGATTACACATCGATAGCAGCAATCAAATCAAACTTCCTTCAGCTGTACAGTAACAACTACAGGTTGTTAAAAGAAAAAAGACACAACTCCCTCCGCCAATTCCATTTCTGTTTGGAATTGTCATTATTCAAATTCCTGCTGCAGAAAACGTGACTTTTTAGTTTGTTGTTGTGACACATTTGAGGATCTAAACTAACTAATCTCTTTGGTATCTAGTTACTAATTTAGAATTTTCTACATACGATGTTAAGGTGATTCTCGTTTCTCTGGAAATTATCTGTTTTGGCTACCAAGTGTACTTTAGAGGGGCTTAGTGTGGTCATTTGTTCTTATTCGGAAATTGTCAATCTAAATTTATTATTTGGCTTGGAAACCCCAAAAATATTCTAGCAGCAACGCAGCACTACTTGTTTTAAAGAAGAATCTTCGAGTTCATAAAACTGCTGTCCATGCTTTAAAAATTTTCCTTTAGGATCCTTACCTGTGAGCGGTTGTTCTTTTTAGAAGGTTTAAGGAACCAACACACAAAATTTAAAAAATGAAAATAATCATCCTTTAAGAATAGCATACAGGAAAAAAAAAAAACGTGTTTTTATCTAAACTGCTTTTTTTTTTTTTTTTAAGGGCTTATGCCTTTGCTCAACTCTGGAGATAGGTAGAGGAATTCTTAAAAGTCTCGAAGGGGTTAACTTTTCTGCAACTTTAGATATTTGTTAACTTTTGGGGTTTGTCACCATTACATGACTCTCTACTGCAGTTACAGGCCAGGATTATGTCTGGAAAACCAGAGGTCAACTCTGACTGTGATGGAGAGCGAAGGAGCAAACTATGCTTGCTCTTTTCTGATTCTTTGGAGAACCATTTCCCATCCACTGCTTAAACGGGACTGACTGAGACAAAAGCCACTTGTCAGCGATGAA